AGCAATGTTATGTAATTTTTTATACATATTATACATATTTGTCCATACATACAAACAGTGTTGGACAAAAGAGGAAAATTATAAGTAAAATATTAAAAGGGATACGGAAATTGTAGGTACTTAGGCGGGTTGGGTAAAAAAGCGGGGGGTACTTAAGAGGGGGATTTCCTTCAGATTACATTAAAAAATTCACGGTGCTCAAAAATTTTGGTAACTTAAGCGGGCTAGTTACTTAAGCAGGTTTTACTGTAATTTTCGTTTAACAAAACCACTGTTTATTAATTAATTAATTTAATTTTTAATTAATTAATCCCAACAGCTTTTTACCCTCCATTCCCGCCCAACCGACACGAGGGGCGCAGTCCGCATGAGGTACGGAGCCTTTTTTTTTTAGTTTTTTGGTGCCGAGTAGTGGAAACAGGAGTTTGTTAAGTGTCGAGATCTAAAACTTTTCAGCTACATAATCAAATTCATCAGCTGATTGGATATGCTAAAGATAGTATTTCAATTATTGAGAGCGGAAATAATAGTTTTCTTTATAGTAAAAATCGAGTCCGATACGTCAAACGTGCTGGAATGACAGTGAAAATCCTGACATAAACCACGGAATGATTCGTTTAGTTCAAAATTAGTTTTGCATGGCTTTAAAAATAGAGGTCGAAAGTGTCTTGACACTCGAGAAGGAACATTAAAATTTACCTCAGCCAGGAGGGCCGGGCTATTAATCAAGCCTGTGATTAATTTTACGATAAATATTATACCTAGCATTTCTCTACGGCTTGCGAGTGTAGGTAAATTTATGAGCTTTAGACGACTTGTGTAAGGCGGGAGATTGTAATTTGAATCCCAGTTAAAATTACGCAATGCAAAAAGCAAGAATTGTTTTTGAATTGATTCAATCCTTTCTGAATGAACTTGGTAGCGGGGATTCCAAACAATAGATTCGTATTCTAGTATAGGTCTAACTAAACTGGTAAAAAGAGATTTTGTAACATAAGGATCTTTGAACTTTTTTGACCATCGCCTTACAAATGCAAAAACGCCATTGGCTTT